ACTGAAATATTTTTTGTTCTATATTAATAAATCTTTCCCGTGAAGAATCCCTAATGAATCACTGTTTGCCCTTCACAGCCTCCCTTGTCATTCCACCCAGCATCTAGACAGCATACAAATATTTTATTACTTGCATTACTACCCAAGATTTCTTAGTGCATTCCCCCTCCCATCCCTCTCCTCCCCCAAAGTTCAATGTCACTGGCTTCCAGTGGAGTGTTTTCAAGCGATGGGATCCACTGAAGTGAGTCAAGAGCATCTTTGCCAACAGGCTGGCTAACCTGGTAGAGAGAGCTTTAAACTAGGAACAAGGGAGGAGGGAAAGGATGGCCAACAGTAACGTGAGGAAGTGGAGGACCAGGTTGGCAAGTAAAGCGTGTGGGGCAATGTAAACAGCAGGTACCTTGTAATGAAAAGAAAAGGGCTGAAAGGGGCCCAGCCGAAGCATGTCCACATAAACAAGTGCCTACCACACAGAACTATGGGGATAGCTCTTGTACCCCTTCTGGGAAATCAGTACAGCTGGGCAGCTCTCTGAAGCGCCTGCACACTAATGCATGCAGCATGGGGAACAAACAAGAGGAATTAGAGGTCGACCTTCAGCTGTGGAGTTATGATCTCACCGCGATCAGAGACATGGCTGGACAGCTCACGCAACTGCAGTGCTGCAATGGACAGATACAGGCTCTTTAGGAAGGTCAGGCTGGAGAGGTGAGGAGGGGAAGTTGCCCTTTATGGGAGAGGGCAGCAGGAACACATGGAGCTCTGCCTGGAGATGGATGACGAGCCAGTCGTAAGCTTATGGGTTAGGATTAGAGCGCAGACCAACGTGAGTGATATTGTGGGCGTCTGCTATGGACTAGCTCATCAGGAAGAAGATGATACCTTCTTCAGACAACTGCAAGAAGCTTCATGCTTCCAGGCCCCGGTCCTCATGGGGGACTTTGACAACTCTAATACACGCTGGAGGGACAACTCAGCGTGGCACAAGCAATCCAGAAGGTTTCTGAAGTGCATTGATGATAACCGCTTAATACAGGTGATCAAGCAGCCAATAAGGGAAGGCATCCATACTCAAAAAAAAGGAAGAACTGCTGGGGGTGTAAAGGTTGGGGACAGCACTGCCTGCAGTAACTATGAGATGGTGGAGTTCAGGATCCTGAGAGGAAGGAAAAAAGCAGGATCACAACCCTCCACTTCTGGAGAGTGGACTTTGGCTTTCTCAGGGAGCTGCTTGGAAGAATCCCATGGGAGAACACCCTGCAGAAAAGAGGGGTCTAGGAGAGCTGGCTGATATTCAAGGATCACCTCCTCCAAGCCCAAGAGCAGTTCATCCCAACAAGAAGCAAAACAAGCAAAGGTGGCAGAAGGCCCGTATGGATGAACAAGAGCTCCTGACAAAGCTCAAACATAACGGATGGTTGATGGAGCAGCCTGAGGATAAGAAGGGCATCAGGAGTAGTCAGCACGCATTCACCAAAGGGGAAATCATGCTTGACCAATCTGAGAGCCTTCTATGATGGAATGACTGGCTGGGTAGAGGAGGGCAGAGCAGTGGATGTCGTCTACCTGGACTTCAGCAAGGCTTTGGACACTGTCTCCCATCACATCCTCATAGGCAAGCTCAGGAAGTGCAGGCTGGATGAGTGGACAGTAAGGTCGATTGAGAACTGCCTGAATGGCAGAGCTCAGAAGGTTGTGATCAGTGGTGCAGAATCTAGTTGGAGGCCTGTGGCTAGCCGTGTCCCCCAGGGATCAGTACTGGGTCCAGTCTTGTTCAATGTATTCATCAGTGACCTGGAGGAAGGCACAGAGTGCACCCTCAGCAAGTTTGCTGATGATACTAAACTGGGGGGAGTGGCTGACACACCAGAAGACTGTGCTGCCATTCAGAGGGACCTGGACAGGCTGGAGAGCTGGGCGGAGAGGAACCTCCCGAAGTTCAACCAAGGCAAGTGCAGGGTCCTGCACCTGGGGAGGAATAACCCCAGGCACCAGTAAAGGTTGGGGGCTGACCTGCTGGAAAGCAGCTCTGCAGAGAGGGATCTGAGAGTCCTGGTGGACAAGCTGACCATGAGCCAGCAATGTGCCCTTGTGGCCACGAAGGCCAAGGACATCCTGGAGTGCGTTAGGAAGAGCACTGCCAGCAGGTGGAGGGAGGTGATCCTGCCCCTCTCCTCAGCCCTGGGGAGGCCTCACCTGGAGTACTGTGTCCAGTTCTGGGCTCCCCACTACAAGAGAGATATGGAGCCCCTAGAGCGAGTCCAGTGAAGGGCTGCTAAGATGATGAAGGGCCTTGAGTACCTCTCCTGCGAAGAAAGGCTGAGAGAGTTGGGACTGTTCAGCCAGGAGAAGAGAAGATTGAAGGGGAATGTGTATGAGTATCTGAAGGGAGGGTGTCAAGAAGATGGGGCCAGACTCTTCTCAGTGGTGCCCAGCAACAGGACAACAGGCAACAGGCACAAACTGAACCACAGGCAGTTCCATCTGAACCTGAGGAAAAACTTCTTTGCTGTGAGGGTGACTGAGCACTGGAACAGGCTGCCCAGAGAGGTGGTGGAGTCTCCATTCTTGGAGATATTCAAAACCCGCCTGGACGTGATCCTGGGCAATGTGTTCTAGGTGACCTTGCCTGAGCAGGTCCCTTCCAACCTCAACGATTCTGTGATAAGCAGGAAGCATACATGAGGCAGAGACAGGGAGAGCTGACCCAGAGACACTGTCTGAGCATGCAGGTATGGGGTTAAGAAGACAAAGCGCACATGGAGTTGTATCTGGCAAGGAACGCAGAGGGTAACAAGACGGGTTTCTACAGGTACATTACCAGGAAAAGGAAGACTAGTGGAAATGCGGATCCACTGACGAACGGAGACCTGGCCATAAAGCAGAAGGCTGAAGTACCAAACACCTCAGTCTGTTCTCCTAAGACTGGCCTTCAGCAATCCCAGGTTCCTGAACCAGTAGGAAAGTCCAAGGCAAGGCAGACTTACCATCAGTGGAGGAAGATCAGCTTAGGGAATATCTAAACAAAGTGGATATGTACAGGTCTACAGGTCCTGATGAGATGTGCGGCAGGAGCTGGCTGATGTCATTGAAAAGTCACTTTTGATTATTTTAAAAACTTTAAAAGATCATGGCAATTAGGGGAGGTTCCCGAGGACAGAATAAAGCAAATGTTACTCCTAACTTTAAGAAAGGCAAGGAGGAGAATCCAGGGAACTACAGGCTGGTCAGACTCGCTTCTGTCCCAGGAAGGTAATACAGTAAATAATCCTCAAAAACATTTCCAAAGCAATGAAGGACAAGGAGGTGACTGGGAGTAGTCAGCATGGATTTATGAAGGGGACTCATGTCTGACCTACCTGGTAAGACTTCTACAATGAGCTCACTGGCTTGGTGGATGAGGGGAGGGCAGTGGATGTTATCTTGACTTTAGTAAGGCTTTTGACACTATTTCCCATAACATCCTCATGCACAAGCTGATGAAGTACAGACTAGATAAGCTGACAGAGAAGTGGACTGAAATATGGTTGAAGTGCCAGGCTCATAGGGTTTTGATCAGTGACATGAAGTTCAGCTGGAGGCCAGTCACGAGCAGTGTGTCCCAGGGCTCTACACTGGATCTAAAACTGTTCAATATCTTCATTAATGACCCAGATGATGGGACAGAGTGCACCCTCATCAAGTTTGCAGATGATATAAAACCAGGAGGAGTGGCTGACGGACCAGATGGGTGGGCTGTCATTCAGAGGGACCTCCCCCTCTACTCAGCCCTGGTAAGACCACTCCTGGAGTGCTGTGACAAGTTCTGGCCACCCCAGTACAGGAGAAACATGGACATTTGGAGATGGTCCAGGCAGACCATGCAAATGATTAAGGTACTGAAGCATGTGACATACAAGGAAAGGCTGAGAGAGCGGAGACTGTCTAGCCTGGAGAAGCCCACCTTTGAGGGGGATCTTATCAATGTGTATAAATATTTGTCCAGAGAAGTTGTGGCGGTATCTCCATCTTGGAGATATTTAAAGCCCAACTGGACCATGTCCTGAGCAATCTGCTCCAGCTGACCCTGCTCGGAGCAAGCAGGTTGGACAAGACGATCTTCTGAAGTCCCTTCCAACCTCAACTAATCTGTGATTTTGTGAAGTTACGGAATAATTTTCAAGAGTAGTGCAATGAAAATTGTGTCGGAGAACACACCACATATTTCAGAAATTTCCATCCAAGTTTTCTGCTGCTTCTCTTCCTCTAACTGTAAGAGACTTCAGAGACCCTTGAATTAGCAGTGCAATTCTAGAAGCATATTAATTTGTCCTTCAGTAGATGTTATCTTTTCCAAAAAAGTTTTTGGACGCAGGAGTCATTTCCCAGTGTAAATCTGACATTCTGTATACTAATATACCAGACTTATTCTCTGCAAGTGCAAAATTCTCAGAAAATGCTACTGCAAACTTTGATTTGATTATATGTTCAGTTGGGGAAAGAAACTTTTCATTTAATATCTGTCAGTGTTCTGTGCATCTTTGAATCCTTTGTTCAAAAATGAGCAAACCTTTGAAGCTGCTCAGCCTTTCCCAAAGCTTGTGAAAATAAGGCCTGTATGCTGGGATTGGTCAGTTGCTACTGAAGGCCAAATTTTGTATTCACAATATTTATGGCACTGTCAGTCCGATCAAGCAAAATTTATTTACTTTGCACTGTATATTGACGGACAGTGTAAAATTAAAATAATGAAGATTCCTAACTGATTCCAAAGAAGTTCTATCACAGCAGTTCATAAAAACATTGTGCATTTATTAAATGCACTCTTATTTCCTAAGAGTTCCGGCGCAGCCCTCCATCTACAAGCCTTCACATGGAAACAGTCAGTTCACAGGCAGCAGATCCCTTGTTTTGGATGAGTGCATGATAATCTCATGAGCAGAAAGACATTTAAATATGTTTTTGTTAAAAGAGAAAACATGCAAACACTCAGGAGAAAGGTGAAGCCTCTTGTTTACCTGTGCCTTCATATTCTTCTGTCTCTTCCCAAAAATACAGGACAGATCATCTTCACTGCGGGAAGAGAGATCCTTACCTGGAGGGGGTAAGGGAGGAAAAAAACCCCACAATCTTCATATCTGGTGATGACAGGTAAATTTAGTAACATAAACCATGGCCCAGGGAATTAGAGAAATTGTTTTTGGAGGTGAAAAAGGAGGACAATGTTAAAGACACTTAATGAAGGCTGTCCATATGCAGTAGGAAACATATTGCTCCAATAAGCAGTAGGAAATATGTGGACAAAAAGGCTGCTGAGGGGACAGCCACAGCCTGCTGGTGTCTCTCCACAGGGAAACTTGTAACAAGTCCTGGTTTCCTCGCCTCGACTCTGTAACTGGCAGAGCAACATGAGGGAAGCAGCCTGCACTGCTCTAGAAGGAAAGAAAAGCTGTATCCCCCTACACTCAGGAAGAGTCCAGGAAGAAACTGCACGTCCTGAGGCTCTCGTGAGATTTCCCTATCTCTGACAAGGTTAGTCTCCTCCAGATAGTGAAAAGTCTGTCTTTGCTCAGTGGGGTCTTTCCTCTGATTCATGAAACTGCTTCTGAAAAGCAAAACTCTCATCTGTGCAACATACTGGGTTATTCTGACTAAAAGAATTTCAAGGGTGAAGTAGAAGTTTCTCTGATTTCCAGTCGGAGTGTTTTCCCCATCTCACTGTTGTGTAGCCAGTCAAATACCAGACATGGAGCTGTGTGAGGGGGAAGAAAAAGAGTGTGATATATTCCGAGATGTCAACAAAAGTTCAGTTGGGCCCACAGTGCAGAGGCCTCTACATTCAGCTGCCCGCAGCTTGTCTCAGAAAATTACAAAAAAAAAAAAAAGTCAGTAAAAGTTAAAGAAAAAAACCATAGTCCAGATAGGTCAACTGATATCACGCAAGGAGTCTGCTGGGATCTAATCTTATTCCACTCGATTGTCTGATTCCAGAATCACTGATCTCAAAACCAACCTAAGCACTAGTAATGGACAAAAGAATGAAAACCTGACTATTTCACTTGCTTTTTCTTCTCAAGATCCTTAATCGCCCACAGATGGTAAGCAGACACACGGACTTAAAGGGCAAAGCCTCATCTAACTTTCTGACGTCTCACTGCAGCAGCCTCTATGAGATGTCCTTACCCAAGTGAGCCAGATGAGATTGGTATCTCTGCTGTTTCCAGCTTTACCTTCACCATGGCTTGGAACATGAGACTTGTATTCCTGCTACTCCTCTCATCTTATGCTTTCTTTGCATGCTGTTTTTTTTTCTAATGTAATCCCTCTCTTTTTCTTTCTTTAACAGAAACCCAGCTTAGCTGACTGTCCAAATCTTTTGCAGTATCACAGTGAAACAGCTACTAGAAAAGCAGTTGAAATCAGTCTTAAACAGTCTTGAATTGGTGCAGATTTCCCAGATCCTCATGTGGCTGCTAAGACTGTGTGTGGTGCCTATGTTCCTCCAGCAGCAAGGATGCAAAACAGCACCAGAAACGGAAACTGCATTTTTTATCATTGCTGCTCCCTTCTCCCGCTTTTGTGTTGAGCTCGTCTTGTTTAGTCTGCAAGGAAGCAGGATCGGACTTTTAACAACAAGAGCCACAACAACAACATTAGCCTTTCTCAAATAACTTTTCCTCTTTCACTGAAAAAGGACAATTTCCCTGTTTTACACCGCAGAGGCTACTGTCAAACAGGGGGCCTACCTTATAGAAACACTACAGCCAAATAAATAAGGGATATTGATAAGATGAAAGCCTTGCTCCACATTTTACATGCTCAAATCACATTTCTTTTTTGTCTATATTTAGTAAAAGGTTCATTCCAAATCAAAATAAATCCTCTTTGCTACTACTTCAAACAGGCCGTGGTCTCCATACTCAAAACCCTGAACCAATTCAATTGTTTAATGCTGTAAAGTGGCAGGGTCATGTTAACATCTTTAACTCTCTAGGTTAAATTATTTCATCAAAAAATCCAAAGCTCAATACTAGAATTTGGCCTCCATTCAGAACTCAATTACCTGTGTTTTAGCAGAGGTATTTGCTATCGGAAAACATTAAATAGAACTTTAAGTTTTATAAATTAGCCATTAGTGGAAAACAGCATGGCTCTGATCCTATCCATATACAGAAAAACATATATACACACACAAAGTGTGCAGGGTGTGTGATATGGGAACATAACCGGCAGAGAAATAAGGTAAGTGATTGAACAATGGTCGAAAGCAGAAATCAGATATGGCTAAGTATTCAGCTATCATTCTCTAAGAAAAAAAAACACAAAACTCCAGGAGTTCTTGATATAGTTTTTTTGGCCACTGATTCCTGTCCTAATTCACCCAACAAATTATCTGGTAGATATAAGAGGGCTTTCCTCTTCCTGCATTCAGGTTTAATTTGATCACTGATCTTATCCACATGATCTCTTAGCAGGGGTTATTGGAGACTGCAGAGGATAGTGCCATACAGACATCCAAGTAACTCTGTTATCACCTTTGCATCCCCCTTCCCATTCCCTGCCCACACACACATCACCCAGAATATTTATCATTCCTCTACTCAGCTGATGTTTCCTACAGGCAGAAATTGAGGTATTCACTAATACTAGCCTAAAGCTATCCAAAGTTGCCCAAAATAAGAAAGAAATAGTGTATTATAGCTTTAAGCAGGTTGCTGCAGGGGGTAAAATCAAGATTTTACTTGCCAAATTTAGACCTCAGAAGGTAACAGAGATCACCCTGACATATGTGTTTTTCTAATCTTGGCTAGAGATCATGAAACAACAACAAAATTCCTCTTACCTTTTGCAAACTTCATATAATGGACACGTTTCTTGGAGGATTTGGACTTTTCTTCAAGACTAAATTTCTTCTGATCACTTGCTGAGGACTCTTAAAAAAAAAAACAAAACAAAAAAAACCACCCAGGCTCCAGCTCCATTAGAGAAATGCCAACCATAGAATTCAAACATCAGTATATTTAACTTTCCACCTTAGAATTAAGTCTCAACAACATATCACAACACATTACTGAAAAAAGCATGGCAAGTCTTGTCTGAGACATGTTACTGCATGACTTTTTTGCCATGTTCTCTTCCCTTCTCATTTCCGACCTAATGCAATTTGAGAAGGGAGATATAGGTACTTCAGGTCAAAGGCAAAGTCTGATTTAACATCACTTCTATGGTGAGCAGAGACTAATCAGGTCAGGGTCTATTGTGCTGTTTTTTACAAAACCATTTCCACTGCCAGAGTCTGGGAATGCTGTAAGAAACACACGATACAAAAAATAGAACAGTAAACATGAGTGAACAGGAAAAAGAAAGAAAAAAATCACAGCAGATAGGCCTTCCACTTCTAACAGTACTCAAAGTGCCTCTATCTGGACGTAGTGAGATACACCTATGAAAGGAAATTAAACAGCAGCAGAGCTTCAATATCCCTAAGGCTAACTGGAACAAACTGCCACATCTGAACTATTTATGTCTCCTAGCTTCCAGAAGAGACAGGCTGCATCTAAACTGCCCACTGGGAATGGTCTATGAATCTCTCTCAACTAAGCCCCAAATATTGCTCAGGAGTTGCTTGGGAGAGCTCTTGCTGGTGCAGGCCAAAACCCTGCAAACGACTAGTCTAACTACTCAACAGTAGAGAGGAATAAGTTTTTGTGCCTTGGCAGGTTAATTTATTGGTACAGATGAACTCTTTGCCTGTTAAACAGAGCCTGTTAATCTACAGGAAAGTCTCAGAAGGAGGTATCCTGCTGTCCTGCAAGAATTACTTTATTGGTGCTGTCCTGAAAAGGAATGGGCACTATGGGATTCTGTGCTCAATGACTCCAGAAAAAGTTACGCAGGTGCGATTTTTTTCTCCCAGTGGCAGCTGGGATGGGTAGGAAAAATCAACCCATACCCTAAGGGCCAAGTTGAGTCACCTTTTTCATATGATTCCACCCCTGAACGCTCTGCAGACCAAGCTTTTCTGACACTGGAATTACAACTTTCCACGGTTTTACAGATAGTGCCACCTGATGATAGGCATTGAGCTAAAAATGAAATCTACAGCCTGCAGCGGGAGAGTTTACTGCCAGAAAGCAGCCTCAGATCTTTTCTCGCATTTACAGGATAAACCCTAAAGAGAGGAAGAAGGACTAGCAAATCTAGTTTCATATAGAATCTGCGGTCAGCCTGACAAATCCTAAAAGAAAAAAAAAGAAAAAAAATAGTAAAATATCCTGACCAAAGATTAGGTACTTCTGAGTCTGCTCTCTAATCCACTTATACTGAAGGGAATATCACACAGCAATGGATATCTGCAGGGCTTCCTGCTGCACTTCTTTCTTACAGCAAAAGGGGCACCAGCACCGCCTTGTGCTTTAAGGAGGAATTTCACTACTGTGCAAAGGGGAGGTACATCACTGTCTCTTCTAGTGACTGCTAACACCTCTGAGGAGCTGAGCAAGTGCTGCAGGAATATTAACACACTTTTTAAAGCACTTCAGTCACAGCAATAAAGTCCTCTGGCATTTCTATAGCAAGTATGATACAGATGAGTATTTCAAAGCACATTACAGATATGGCCAGCATGTTTATCCCATTTTACAAATGGGAAGGGGACACAACCATCATCACTTAGGACCCCAGCAGAAGAAGCAGGAATCAGATCTCCTCACTAGGTGATTGGCTAGAAAAAAAGAAAGCTAACACTATGTAGATTAAGGGTATTTGAATGCTGGCATAAGAACCCCCACATGGCCCTTCCTTCCCAATTTCTAATTGCGATCCAACTCCGGCAACTACACCAGTTATTTAAGAACAATGAACATTTTCAGCTGACTTTTAATGCAATTTGAAGCTGGACGATGGCCAACTATATAACATTTGATCCTGGAGCACAGCTGCAGGCAGAGTTATCTGGATGAGTTCTGCCAGCTTAAACAATCGCCAAAAACCAAGTTTTAGCGCAATGCTTGCGGTCTGCAAATCACCAAACTTGATTCTTACTGGGACCTTTCAGCTTGCACCCACATTTGTCCTCGGTGACAGAAATCTCCTGTCACGGTTGCTAAAAAGACCACAGAAAAATAACCCGGAACAACAGAGAGAAATGTGGCTTTAGGGGGCCACTTTGCATCAGTACAGATGACCCAGGGAATACAGCACAGGTTTAAGAACAAGTCAGTCTTGCTTAATTAACCTGCCTCTGTGCTGACTCACTGTGTCCTTGGGCAAGTCATTTCAGCTCTCTGCTCATCAGTTTGCAGGTTTCTCACCAGTTACACCTAACCGATCTTCCCATAGCTCAAGTTG